TTGAAAGGTCCACTGTGGAACGAGGCAAAAGGCTTTTAGATCCTTAAACCCTTCGACGACAACGACGAGAAGGGTAAAACCTCGTCGAGAACCTTCAAAACCCCCCGTATGATCATGGAGTAAAAATCATAAAATCTTTACTCTTTTATTAATTAGAGTAAATAAAGTTAATTAGACTATGATTTTATTAATAAGATATAAGTATTTTTTTTTATTATTATTATTTTTTTTTTCCAACAATATACAATTAGATACATACATATATATATAATGATAATTCAGAATAGTGTAAGTACACACGCACACACACAATCGAATATATTTGCAACATGGGTATATACATAAAAGCCAATATATCAGTAATATATTAAATAAATATATTAACAAGTTCAGCACACAGACAGAGTTTACAAGTTTATCAGTAATATGTCAAATAATTTCTATACTTTGAAATTATAATTGTTAGTGGATTTTAATTATTTAATGCACAAATATTTTAGATTAATTTGCTCAAAAACAAGCAAATTCTTTTGAATTTAAAGTTTAAAATTTGCAATAAATTTTCATGGTTTATCCTTAATTGCACAGAAGAATACTTCAATTGTTGAAACAGAACAAATCAAATCTTATACACCTACAAAGTAACAAAGTAAACTAAAAATACAGAAAAAAAAAATGATGAACAATGGCAAGAAAAGAAAAGGGAGAACAGATAATGAAAAACCATTAATCATCATTGTGGGTACACCATGATTGTTAATACACACACACACACATCTACCTTTACACTGTGATACATTACAAACAACATATATGCTAAGCAACAGTATTCTAATGTAACACACAACATACAGGGAGCAAATAGTGAAACACTCTTCAATTACCCGACTAAGAGCAAAACCAATCAACCATACACTTTGGGTAGGAACTTCGTGTATAACAACTGTACAAAAAGACTTGAGCCTCTCGGAGAACACCAAGCAAGCAAGACTGGTGCTTCATCTCACTTTCAAACAAGCCAGTTGCCACATCCCCAACACATTTGCTTTCGGATCTGGATGCCGGCGAATTATTAACGAGTGATTATCTGCAGAGGAGCGTTTGAGTTCTGCATAACAAGG